TGCTCTGTGCACAACATGGTGGCAGGGCTGCAAGTCTGCAGGCGAGCAGAGCAGAGGCTGGAGTGGTGGCAGCTCCGAAGACAGAGGCCCAGAGGACGGCTGTGCAGGACGACTGTGCAGAGAGGCCCAGAGGATGGCTCTTTGGGACAGTTGTGCAGAGAAGCCCAGAGGACAGCTGTGTGGACAGAGGGGCCCAGAGGCAGAGACTGGCTTGCTGCATACAGACTCGCTCTGAGTGAATGGGATTTTAGTGACTGACCTGTCATCTGGGAATAAAGTTGGGTATAACCCTTTCACCCCAAGAACATTTTGCTGTCATTTTCTTTGGTCACACTGAATCCATAGCGAACTTACCCGGGGCTGAAACTCTGGAAGTATCTGCTAAAAATGACATAGATTAACAAAATACTGAGGGTTCTTGTTTGAACTAGAATTTAATTTGTTTCTACCTACCTAATTCTATCTTTTATAATCACAGTATTTGTACCATATCAGCCAAAAATTGTGATGGAATATGTGCACTTAATTCATAAAAAAAAAGAGAAGAAAAAGTATCAAGTAATAAGTATGGTATTTGGTGGGTCAAGTCTTCATATCAGACCCTTTGTGGAGAAATATTGGAAACTACTCATTTGTTCTAACATGCTTTGACCAGTGAGTATATCTGAAGCCCAGATTAGAGAAGTGACTTATTCAAGGTTACCCAGGAAGAAGAAACAAAGCTTAGATTAAGCTCCTGGAATCAAATCATTCTGTGGTCAGAGGGAGCTTAGAGATCATAGGCATTTGCTTGGAGCCACTGCTCTTGCCTTGATTCCATCATTTAACACATTATCACAATTCAGTGTTAGATGTGTCTGTCTCTCAATCCCACCCACTGGCTCTGGACAGGAAGCCTCTTGAGGCCAGAGGCTGTGTCTTACTCATCTTCATGGCACATCTCCCCAGCCCCTATTGCACGGTTCCTTCCCACACCACATTTCCCTAAAAGGCTTATGAATGTTGAAAGTGTGAATAAAGAACCGCTTTATTTTAACAGATGGAGAGACTACATTTTAGAGAAGAGAAGGGACCCGTCAATGGTTCCTCAGCAAGCTTGCAAAGGCCAACATGATCTCCTGCATCTCTGGGAAGCTCTCTTTTCTACACCTGGGATCACAGAATAGACAGACACTTGACTTCTCTCATTTCCCCACAAAAGCCACAGGTAAAGGTGTTTATGGCTTAGAAACTAACCAAGGCCACAAGCACTTCAATAGGTCACAGTCTGAGCCTGTCAACTGTTGCTGTTTTTCACTTTTTAAATGGTGTTAACAATTATGCTTTATACTGTATTGAAAACTCTCATTACCTCCATGCTGACGATATTATTAATTGACCCCTCCAAATTTAAGCAGTGAAACACAGGCCCACCTAGCTTGTCACCTGATTTCAAGGGTGAAGGCATAATTATTTCCAAAAATTGTATTACAATAATAAGTATTCATATTTGGTGAAAAGCATCTTAATCTTTGTAGAGCACATTTGTACATGCTAATTTGTCTAGCACTCAGATATTTCTGAAACAAAATTATGTTTTCTCAAAATAAGTTGGTGCTATAAATTTAAAACAGGGGAACTTATTGTATGTGAATTGCATATACCTCAATAATGCTGACTTTAAAAAGGAAGACTTAGAAAGCCACAAGGAAGAAAATAAAAGTCACTTTCATTTTCACTGTTTTCCTTAATTGAAAGAAATTCTCTTTATTAAAAGAAAACACAGCATAGTGTAGCAGATGGAGTAGAATGAATTACTGCAAGGTGAGAGATCTTCTCTAAATGTGTTGGGTAGTGTCCCCTGCCAGGGAGGGGCCCCTCCAAGCCTCTACTCTCTCCCCTGTAAGTGGATGTGATGCCTGCCACACCTGCTTCACCAAGCTGTGGCAAGTCTGCTTAACAGATGTGTTAGGACTCTGTGAGCTAAGATGCCCTCCCAGGTGACAGGTGGCGCTACCCACAAACCTCCTCAGCTGAAATCTTGTTATGGTCTCCCTGCCCTTCCCAACTTTAAAATTACCAAATATTTCAAACATACAGAAAATAGAGAAAAAGTGTTAGACTTGGGAAAGAGAAGTATGAGAGAGAGCAACCGGACCAGCCACCCAGATTTGTCAAATCTTGACACTATGCCAAATTTGCTTCAGACATTTTTATTTTTTCTAAGAAATAAAACATTACAGATGTAATTAAATCTCCCGAGTCCCTCTTCCTGATCTCATTCCCGTCTTTCCCTTCCAAGAGGTAACGCTATTCTAAATTTGGTGTTTTTGACTTCCCATGCAGGTTTTAGCACTTAAACTATCTGACTTTATCCCTAAAAATATATATATAGAATAGTTTTTTAGTGTTTTTAAACACTTTGAGTCACACTACCTCTTCTACAACTTGATGCTTTTTTCAGACAATGCCTATGTTGAGGTTTACAGCCTTGGCTTAATTTTACTCCCATATTATATACCACTGTATGGACAGATCACAAGGTATCTCGAATGCTGTTAATGGATAATTAATCAATGTCTAATTTTTCACATTATATGCTGAATGGAGTGGACTCATTAAATTGTAAATATGGGTGTCTTCAACTTTTTTAGATACTGTCAAACTCTTAGATACTGTCAAACTTTTCTCCAAAGTAGTTGTGGCAATTTACATCTCTATCCACCGTGTATGAGGCCAAGGGACTCACATTCTCACCACCCCAACCCTCATCCCCTTATCGACAGACTTTTCACTCTTTGTCAGGTTGGTGGATGTGAAGTGGTGTCCAGGCCTTTTCATTTGCATCTCTCACATGACCAGTGAGGTTGAACCTCTTTTCATATTTTTGGCCATTTAGGTTTCCTCTTTTGTGAGCTGTCTGTTCATATCCTTGACCCCTTTTGAAGACAGTTTCAACCTACTTCTGCCAGATCCCAAAGCAAACTCAGGTCATGGCTCTTCTCCGTTCTAGGCTTGGCAGGGCTCTCTTTAGAACATGCACAACTGGTCACTTTGCTCCTGGCCCTGGTTTGCCTGTGGGCTGAAAATCAAGCTCTGCCCATTAACCTCAGCTCCACCTTCTCCTACCTCACCTTCCACTGTCCCTCTACACGCCTGAATTCCAGCCCAACAGTCACATCTTGCTGTGTCCAGGCTTCCTGTGCATACCATTCCCTCCATCTAGAAGGCTCACCTCCCTATTTCCACATTCTACCTAAAATGCCATCTTTTCTGTGATATGTATCTTCTCATCTCAATTCACAGAGTTGCCTCTAATCACTAGTGACTCTATACCTTTCTAGTAGCATTTATAATCGTTTGATTTGTAGTGTTTTAACAATTCCTCTCCTTGCATATCACTTCTTCATTTATTTACAAAAGCATCTGCTCCTTCATTATGTTCTTTTAACCTTGTCACTGCTTGTGACAACACCTGACTCCCCCACAAGACTGTGGGCCTCACAGCTCCCAGTTCTAGTCCTGCCCAGGGGGCACCCAATGAATGTCATATCCTAACAAAGGACAATCACTGCACACCCAGTGGGTGCCAGGGGCTGTGCGTATATTAATGATCATCTTTCATGTCCATTTAGGTGAGGAAACTGAGGCTTAAGAGTTGAAGTGATGTGCTGGGGGCCAGTAATCAGGGAACTGGCCTTTGAGACCCACTTTGAGTCACACTACCTCTTCTACAACTTGATGCTTTTTTCAGACAATGCCTATGTTGAGGCTTACAGCCTTGGCTTAATTTTACTCCCATATTACATACCACTGTATGGACAGATCACAAGGTGCCTGCCTTCTTCTATAATCTCTGCCCCAAGTATCCTGGAGATCATACCCCATGGCCCAGAGGCAGAGGTGAACAGGGGAGGTTGGGAGGGGCTGCTGGCCCCAATGGTGATATACACACTTCCCCAGCTTCCTGGGGTTCTCTGCAGGTTGTGGTGGTAGCAGGTGAGAGGAGGGCTGAGAAATGGGGGGCTGGGGGGGATTGTTGGCACCTGTTCTCCACCCTATCCCTCAAAGAGTGAGTCTGGCAAGGGGCATGTCTGCCCTTTCTCCCCAGGGCAAGGACCCTATGTGCCTGGAGCCAAGCCCGTTGCCTCATCTGCTACTATTGTGACTCTGTATGACTGTGCCCATTTATTGGCATATTGTGTTTCTGTGGTATGTACTTACTATTGTATCTTTGGGTTGTGTTTCTTGCATTTTGTGTGGTTTGCTGTTGGCACACTGTTTCTTTGGTGTCTCTACGCCTGTTGTCTACCTTATGTGTATGTTCTGTTGTGTGTGCGGTGTACGCTGGGTCTCTCGTTTGTATCTATGTCTGTACTTGGAATTGTCTCTTTATTGTGTGTCTCTATTGGGCATATGGTGTGCTGTGAACCGGAGCTGTGCGCGCTGTTTATCTGTTTCTGTGTGATGCTTGTGCTATGTCTCTGTGCTACTCTCCGCTGCAAGTGTGTTTATGCTGTGTGAATCCTGTTGGGTTGTCTAGGGTCTGCGTCTACGCTGTGAGTTCGTGTGTGTCCGCACCTCCGTGCTGCAGTCCGTGCTCTGTGCGCAGCGTTGTCTGTTTCCTGGGCAAGCCCGTGCCTGCTCTGGGCGCCGGGCGCGCGGGTGCCGCTTCTCTGCTTGCCCGGGGTGGGCGCGGGCCCTGCGTGTGTGCGTGTGCGCGGTGTGTGCGTGTGCGTTGTGCGCGCGCTGCGCCTCTGCGCCGGGCGCGGAGTGGCGGCGGAGGATGCGCGCCGCGGCAGGCGGGGGCCAGGGCGCGGCGCGGGGGCGGGCGCGCGGCGCGGCGGGGCCCCGCGGCCGCGGGCTCCAATGGCGAGGCCGGCGCGGCCCCCACTAATTACATAAGCGGGACGTCAATAATTCGCGGGAAAACGCGAAAAAGATGGCGCCCCGCGCCCGGGGGGCCCCTTCCTGAGCGCCCCGGCCCCTCCCTCCTCCTCCCCCCTCCTCCCCGCGGCGCCCCCGCCCCGCCCCGCCCCCGTCGAGACCCCGACCCCGGCCCCACGGGCGGACACTCGGCCGGGCAGCCGCAGGCGGAGCGCAGCCGCCTCCGCCGCCGATGCGCCTGGTGGCCAGACTCCAAGTGGGACCGGCGGACACGCAAACTCGCGGTAAGTTCAGCGGGGACTCCCCGCCACTTCTCTCCTCTTCCTGCATACAGCCCACTTTTCGGAATCTCCCTGAACTTTATTAGGTCGAACGCCTCCGGGAGAGGCGGTTTGAAGTCCTTGGGACCCGCGCGCCTAGGGGATGGAAGTGGGTGCACAATGTCCGCGGGGTGGCGGGAGTCCCGCGCGGATCCCCTAGCCTTTGGGGGGCGTGAGTGACAGGTCGCTATTCCCTTGCCCCAAACCTTTACTTTTCCTGTTTCGGGCGGGGGTCGGGGTGGGTGGAGACCGATGGGGGCGCTTGGGATTTTGCTCACGTCCGAAGTCAGGCTGCGGCAGGATTGGGACAGGGGAGGCTTGGCGTCGGAGCGACTGAAGAGAGGAGTGCATGAGCCCGAAGGGGGCACTTCTGCAAGTTTTCTTCCTACTGAGCACCCTTTTTAAAAAAGTCAACGGCCGCCCTGGGAGAGGCCCCGGCGCATGAATCATCCTCGCTTCCTGCCCCCTCGCGGCCCCGCGCTCCGGGTTCCGCGGATTTGAACTGGAAGCCGACGAGAACCCGCAAACAGGCATTTCTTTGCAGATGGGTTTGAATCAGCCAATCACAGTCCGCAGGGGCCCGCTCCGGGAGGATGGAGGCGCGGGTTGGGGGGTGGCCGCCACCCGGGGGCCCCCGCCCGACAAGGGGGGCGCGGCAACCGGGTCTGCTCTCAACAGTGCGGCGGGGGAGGAAGTGTCAGTTTGTGAACCTGCCGCGGTCCGGGGCCCAGGCCTGGCGGGCGTGGACCTTGCAGCGCCTGGGAGCCAGGTGGCAGGGAGAAGGCAGGGATTCGGACTCCAGACCCTGCCTGTGCGCTCTGCCCTAGAGAAAAGAGAGGGCTAGGAGGTGGAGTGGAGGAGATGTCTGGGGAGTGGAGACCACAGAAGTGCCCTGCTTACCCCAGGGCCCCTGACATGAGCACACACGCATTTATGCTCACTTACATAGTGCTGCAGGCACCATCAAACAATCTCACAGGAGTACACCCATTCTCACGCGGAAACACACACAGGACTCTCTCCCTGTCTACAAATAATCACACCACCAGGTGCCAGGGCAGTGGCAAAGGGAGGGGACCAGAGTGGCGGGTGCGGGGAACAGAGCAGCGCTGTGCTTGGCTTAATTGAGAGTTGTGTGGAGAGGCATGGAGCCAGGTGAGACCAGAGGGGAGGAAGGGGCCTTGGCGAAGGCTTCAAATGCCAGTGAAGATTTCTGGGAGGGAGAATAAGATGGGATTGGTGGCCTTGTGGAAGGTCCGGTGGAGAGGCAGGAAAGCAAGGAGTGGCTTATTTAGCCCTGGGAACTGGTGGTACCATTCCCCAACTCAGGTGTGGCAGAAGTGAGCACAAGAATCAGGAAATGTTATTGAATGAATGAGTAGCCCAGGCAAAAGAGAGGCTTTGAACTCAGACCAGGACAGGGGGTTGGAAAAGAGGGCTGAGAAGCCAGAAGTCACTGTGCTTGAAGTTGGCCAGCTATGCAACTCGTTGATTGGAGGAGTCTAAATTGCCTGGGATCCTGAGGACCATAATAGAGTCCTTAAGCAGGAACAGAGAAAGCAGCAGCGGCGCAGTGCATTTCCAGTAGGGGGAGAGACAGGTGTGGAGAGCGTGGCATGGGATGACTTAACTGCTTGGAGCAAATTTGCATCTGAGTAAAAGCATAAGTGAGTTTAAATGCCCCAGAATTGGTTTCTATTAAATCATCCCATAATTGAGAACAGAAAAGGGGATTACAGAAGACACAGATGGCCAAATCTATACCAGTTCATGAGCCATCCAGGAGTTTTCCTGGCCAGATCTCAGGGTAGGAGTGGGGGGCAGGTATGAAAACTTCTGCTGCTATCCTGGAGAAGGCCCTCCACTCAGAGAACATAGAAAATGTTTGCTTAAGGGATAAATTCTCAGGCTTCTAAATTAGGGAGTATGGTTCAGGCCCCCTGGGCAAAGAGACTGTTCTGTGGCTGGTTGAGAGGTCGGTTCTCTTTAGGAGGCAGCATGCATGCTATGAGGTGGGAGGAGAGGCAGGATCAAGAATCAGCTCACCTGATTATGAACCACGTCTCTTCCTCTGACCCTGTAGCCCCTTTGCCTTGCCCTGTCTGTAGAATGGGAATAATAATGTGTCCCTTGAAGGGTTGTCACAGAAATCCAATGAGATAAAAGTATTTGCACATAGCATGGGTTACAGTCTCCTTCCTTCCCCTGATGTGCTTCTGGAGCAACGAAGCAAGGAGCAAAAGCCTTGTTCTCTCTCTCTTTCAGTGTCAGTGGAAGCTGATGGAGAATCGAGCTCTGGACCCAGGGACTCGGGACTCCTATGGTGCCACCAGCCACCTCCCCAACAAGGGGGCCCTGGCAAAAGCCAAGAACAACTTCAAAGACCTGATGTCCAAGCTGACAGAAGGCCAGTATGTGCTGTGTCGGTGGACAGATGGACTATATTACCTCGGGAAGATCAAGAGGGTAAACCTTTCCTCCCTGGCCCCAGTTCCCAGACTCAGCATTTCTGCTCATCCTTTGGCCTAGGCCTCAGACTGCTGGTGGAGGATGGGGGCTGCTGGGAAACTCCCTTCTTGTCCCTCATGCTCCAAAGATGAACGTGAAAGGAGCCGGAGCCTGCTTTTGCAGGGGCCATCCTTAGGGCCAGCCAACATCATCCAACCAGTTCTTTAGAAAAGTGCTCTGTGAGCCTATAGAACACAACAAAATCAGGTTGGAGAGGATCACAGATGACCATCTGGCCTTTGCTGTTCTCAGCATCCCCATCAAGTTGTCGGTCGTCCCCCAGGTCCTGACCATGCAACTCCAGTAACTGGGCACACACTACTTCCAGGAACTGCTAGCCTTCTCCTCCTAGCCTAGCTCTGCTTTCTGGAGCATAAGGAGTGGGTTAATCCCTGTGCCCAGCAGTGACAAAAATGGGAGAGGAAGACCATGTTCGAATGGCTTTTCCCCAGCCACTTTCTCACACTGCCCCCCCTTCTCCGTGCCTCAGGTCAGCAGTTCTAAGCAGAGCTGCCTTGTGACTTTTGAAGATAATTCCAAATACTGGGTTCTATGGAAGGACATACAGCATGGTGAGTATTCCTACAATTTGGGGCACCCCTGCCTGACCCCAGGTCCCCTTTTTCCTCCATTTTCACTTTTTCCTTCTCTCCTTCTATGACCCCCAAGCCCACCTGAGATGATGATCAGATGACCAGTTGTGCATTTCCATGGAAAAGTACCTATACCGTCTGTCATCCCCTCAATCACCCATACCTCATGAGAGAGGCAGGCAGGCATATGAAGAAGGTGGTTCGGGGAGGTGCCAGGAGAGCTGGGCTGGGTCTCAGTCCTGTATCTGCTTCTTTGCTGCCTTTCATCTCCTGTTCCCAAAGCTCTGGGTCACGGAATGGGGAGGGGCCCAGGCCATCAGAATTGTCACCTCTAGATGTAAACACAGTGTGCCCCATCAACATGTGAACAAAACTAGTGGAGACAGCTCTCTCTCTGGTAGAAAGACAAACAAAGCAGAGATGGACCAGGTGGGGTGAAGATAGAAATGCCTGGACCAGCTTTCAGAGGTGAAGGCAGACTGGGGTGGGTATCATCCCTACCCTCAGGGAGCTGACATTTTCTTACCAAGATGGCAAATCAGGGGCATTCTTGCCAGCTTCTACCTTTCCATGGACATGACAAACATCACTCATCAGTCACAGCTGTCATATATTTTCAACACAGAGCTCCAAGCCGTTACTACCAATCAGTCAGAGTTGTCAGGAGAGAAGAAGCCTGTTCACCACTTATGTTCTAACAGGAGAACAGACAAGGTGGTATGGGAGGAAGAGGCAGGTTTTAGGGTCAGATAGACCTTGGACCAATTTCTAGCTCTGCCACTTACTAGCTGTAAACCCTTATGCAAGTGGCATCAGAAAGAGATCATGAGAATACTGGCCTCAGGGTGGTTAAATGAGAGAATCCATGTAAATACTTAGCTTGGTGCTGTTAAGTTAGAGAGAGGCAGTTTCTAAAGAATTTCTTACTGTAAGAGATGATTTTAAGGAGCCTGCCAAGGAGAGACCACAGGACCCAGCCAGTTAGTTCCCAAACTGCCTCTTCCTCCAAGATGGTGTGACTAATGCAGACTGGTTCTACTCCAAGCCCCTCCCACCCTCAATGTATTATGCAAAGACCCAAAGCAATGAGGAGCCCCTCTCTTGGGTTATCCTCTCAGAGCAGAGAGAGCCAGTTGGGGAGGAAAGAGGACCTTGAGTAGAAGGCTCACTGTGTGCAAGGCACCGTGGAAGTGCTGCCATGCTCACGTGGGGGAACAGCTTGGGTCCCCAGCCAGCTAACTGCTGCTCACAGGCCAGAGGGCAGGACCCTCTGGCAGTGCCCAAGATGAGAGAACAAGGCTGGGCACACCGTTGTTACTGACTGATCATTTCATTAAACCGGTGAGGGCTCACTGACACCCACCGTGGGCACCCCTTTCTAGTGTATGCAGCAATAAGAGCCAAGAGACCATATATTCGACAAACACATCTTGAACATGTTAATGTGTCACACACTGTATGAAGTCCTGGGGACACACTGATGAGAAGATGCCGTTTCTGCCTTTAGAAAATGTTCAGTTTTCAGCTAGGAAAAATAAGAGAGCAACACACATCAAAATGTATTTAATTTATTCTCAAGCCTTTCACACATAAACACAGTCTTCAACAACCACAACAAAAAGCAAAGAAAAGGAAAGGGAAGGAACCTATAGACTAAAAGCAATTGAACACACTTATGACATTTTTATTAAAGAGACATTTGGAAATGTGAATACTAACAATTTGTTGATAATAAAAATTATTTCATATTCCTAAAAGTTTTTTTAATTAAAAAAATTTTTTAGGTGCAATAGAGACATTTGTTTAAAAAGTTCTAATCTTTCAGAGATACCTACTGAAATATTTAAGGAAAAAGACTAGATATCTGGGACTTGATTCAAAATAATGCAGGAGGGGAAAGTGGGTAGGAATATAGTTGAAACGAGATTGGCCAGGGGTTCATAACTGCTGAGAACATGGAGTTTCATTCTAACATTCTGTATCTCATAATAAAAATTTAAAAACTTATTTAACATAGAAAAATGTTTAATAAAACAGGTGAAGTTAGGCAAGACATGATAGGATCAGAAAGAACAAAGGATTTGATGTGAAACAGCTATCAGTTTGATTCCCACCTTTCTTTCTTACTAGCTAAGCAGGAACTTAACCTTTCTGAGCCTCAATTTCCCCATCTTTAGAATGGGGTAATGATATTAGGCACCTCAGAGTGAGTGGGGGAGATTTGGCATAAGAGGCTCCATGCTAGATCAGCACACAGTAAAGGCCTAGCACCTGGAATGTGATTTTAAAACTTCTAATTCCTTTGGGCTGGACCTGACCCTTTCTTTCAGCTGGCGTCCCGGGGGAGGAGCCCAAGTGCAACATCTGCCTGGGGAAGACATCAGGGCCCTTGAACGAGATCCTCATCTGTGGGAAGTGTGGCCTGGGTGAGTGTGCTGAGCAGGGCCCCATCCCCACTGGCCCCCACAGGGCAGTGGGTACTGCCTTGGACTGTAGGGACCTCAGCTGGTGTCCTGTTTTTCCTGGAACCTCAGAGCGACAGGGGCCAGTCTGGGAATGAGGGCCTGGGAGAGGACTCTTGGGGAGAGTTGGGGCTTCTGGACAGTGAGTTGAGGTAATGCAGGTTGAACCCTCGCTGGGTGGAGAGGATGGATGGAAGAGATGGGGCACAGAGGCTGAAGCTAGACCCTCCTACCTATACCACCAGGGCCCATGCTGTCCTTTAGTGGCCTGCTTGGACATTAGCTTGGCTGCCTTGGTGAACATTGCCAGCCAATCTCCTGGCAGCTGGCAGGCACATGGCCCGAGGCCTTGCTGCAGCCCTTCTCATCTCTGCTGCCTTTGGGCTGACTGGCTTTGGGCCACTGCTTCCTTGTGGGCATTCACCACTCCTCCTCTGCTGTAGGTTACCACCAGCAGTGCCACATCCCCATAGCAGGCAGTGCCGACCGGCCCCTGCTCACACCTTGGTTCTGCCGACGCTGCATCTTCGCACTGGCTGTGCGGGTGAGCCCTCCATCCTTCAGTCCCTGCCTCTGTCCCCTCCTCTAACTGGGAAGCAGGTGGCTCACAAAACCTGGGCTTTGGAGGCAGACAGCACTGCTGCCTCTTACCAGCTGTATGTCCCTGGCCAGGTTCCTTAGTCTCTCTGAGCCTGTTTCCTCAGCTGTAAGATGGGTATGGGAATAAGCCCCCAGTAAATAGTGCTTTACTATTAAAGGAGAAAATCATGTGAGTTCCCACTCAATACACAGTGGTTATTCCTGTTGTGCTTATTACTATTGATACTATTATTAGTGGAGACCCTTCTGGAACCTGGGATTGAGGAGAAAATCTCCTAGCATTTCTGACTACACTGGAAGGTCTGCGGGTCCCCCTCGTGGGCGTGTCCCCGGATAACCGTGCGTCGACCACGCGGTGAGTCGGGCTCTCATCTCCCCACAGAAAGGCGGCGCGCTAAAGAAGGGTGCTATCGCTAGGACGCTGCAGGCCGTGAAGATGGTGCTATCCTACCAGCCCGAGGAGCTCGAGTGGGACTCGCCCCACCGCACCAACCAGCAACAGTGCTACTGCTACTGCGGCGGACCGGGAGAGTAAGACCTCCGGGGCGGGGCCTCCGGGGTGGGGCGGGACCGGGAGAGTAAGGCCTCCGGGGCGGGGCCTCCGGGGGGCGGGGCGGGGCCGGGGCGTGCCAGGCCGCAGGGGGCGGAGCAGAAGGAGCGGTACCTCCTGGGTAGAGCCTGCAGGGTGAGGCCAGGGGGCGGGGCTGGAGAGCGAGGTCCGCACCCCCTGGCAGTGGGGTGGGGCGGGGCGCGTGGAAAACAAGTCAGTTTTGAGTGGTTAAGATCCTGGTCCCCAGTGTCCAGATCCTCACAGCCCCTTACAGCTGTGCAACACCTGAGCCTAAGTCATTGTAGTTTTCATGTCGATAGTGTGAGCGGAGCGTGAATTAGATAGTTCTCATAAAGGCTCACACACTGCCTGGCACTTGGTAAGCACTTACTACATGTGAGCTCTTACTGTTGGTGCACAGAAGTTAAGATAAGCCTTTCCATTGTCAGAGCCAATGAAACAGACTGCTGGTGAGATACTAAGGTTCTTTTCCCTGGAAGTATGAAAGCAGGGATTTGGGGTTATACCCCTGGTTTGCTGTGGAGTGGATTCTTGTCCTGATGACAAGTCAAGAGTCTTTGCTTTCTTGCTAACCTGGACCTCCATGTAGCCTTGGACAGTTGTACCTGTTCCCTTGGGCGGGTGCTATGGGAGAATCCAGAAGTGAGAGAGGGGTTCTCCACCCTCAGGAAACTCAGGCTACAGGATGCCCTGAAGTCCTGAATCTCATCTCCAAGCTCTTTTGACAAGTACTAGGAGTCTGGAGGCTATGCTTACAAATTACAAATTATCTGGGTAATTTGGGTAAAATTAACTTGAAGTACTTCATCTCTCAAGTGGGATTAATAACCTTGGCCCCATCAGCTTTCCTGGATCCTGGGAGGACTATGGTCTCACAGATGGAGAAATGCTTATAGGGACCTTTCCAGCATTGAGGCAGTGGTTCTCAATGCTTGTGAGCAGAGTTGCCCAGGGTAATTGTCAAAAATATATCTGTCAGGGGTTCCCCCAGAGGTTGAGTAGATCTGGAGTGGGGCAAGGAATCTTCTACATTTTAACCTAAACCTCAGATGATTCTGACGCAAGTGGTCCATGGACCACACCTGATAAGAAGTGAAGAAAGCATCAACTATTATTAAGGAAATGGCTTTTTTGTTCTTCATTTTCAATAAACTTATTGAATGACCATGATAGAGTAGATATATAGTAGCAGGCTGCCCATGGAGCTTACAGAGCCATTGTTCTCCCATGAAATCTTCCTGGCAAACCTTTCCATGCCAGTGGTGTCTGGGAAGCAGTGTGTGGGGTGCAGTCCAGAGATGGAGGCTCAAGCATGGAAAGAAGAGCACCAGCTTTCAAGTTAGAGAGGCGAGGATTTGAATCTCCATCCACCACTTGCTTCTTGGGTGACCTCGAGCAAGCCACTTAACCTCTGACTCATCTGTAAAATGGGGACAGTGGCCTTTTACTAGATGGTGAGATTAAAGGATATAGCATATACCCTGATCCCAGGACCTCCCCTGGCACAGCCTGAGTGCTCAGTAACTGAGTTTTCTTCCTTTCTCCCCGCTGGAGGGTGAGGGAAAGGTTGCTGAGGCTGATGCCTGGCTGGGAGTGTGGGCCTGGCTGACCCTGGCTCCTCTGGCTCTCCAGATGGTACCTGCGGATGCTGCAATGTTACCGGTGCAGGCAGTGGTTCCACGAGGCCTGCACCCAGTGCCTCAGTGAGCCCATGATGTTTGGAGACCGGTAGGTGCTCAGCCTTGGGGGTGAGGTGGGGAGATGGGGGACAGCAGCAGTGCAGCAACTCTTTCAGACTGCCTGCCAGGCCTAGACAGCCAAGTCTGTGATGGTGTGAACCTGTCTGCAAGCAGCAGCTCAGGGTGGGGAAGCCTTTTCAGGAGAGGAACATGCTGGATCACATCCCCAGTTGCCACTGACTTGGGAGACCTTAGACAAATCCTGGCCTTCCCTAAGTCCCAGTCTCTCCAAGTATCTGGAGAAGGAGCAGTGATCCCTGCCCAGAGCTGTTGTAGGAACCACTGGGGAAGTGGGTGACATGATCTGGCTTCTAACCAATGGGGCTAAACTAATGGAAGGCTTATGTGTGTCAAACCAGATACGTGTGTCTTTCCTGGTGTCTCCTGTCGTGTGTGTGTGTGTGTGAAGCAGGGGGGTGGCGGGGTGTGTGTGACCCTGACCACTAAAGCCCAATCTAGCTCAGCTTGCTCTCACCTCAGCCACACTCCAGGGCAGTGATATTTGGGGCAGGATTTGAGGTAGGAGTCAGAGGGGGTTGGGGAGGATATCTTGGTCCCTGTCCTGTCCCATCCTTCACACACACACACATACACCCCTCCCCCAGAGGCCACCAGCTCTAGGAATGAGGGCAGTACTGACTATGGGAAGGCGCATTTGGAAGTGAAGGGGTAAAGGGGCTGGACTAGGGTGGGGTGTCGGAACCAGCCCCCTCTCCACCACCCACAGGTTCTACCTGTTCTTCTGCTCCGTGTGCAACCAGGGCCCAGAGTACATCGAGAGGCTGCCCCTGCGATGGTGAGAGGGTGGGGCTTGGCCCAGGCCCATCTCTGTCCCCTCTGCTCCTCCCCTTCCACCTCCCTCCAGGAACAATTCCATTTCCAGCCGCTAGGTCCCAGCCTTGCCCCTGCCCTTCAGCCTGGACCCAGGAGGTTCCAGTCCTGGTGGGTCAGGCTGCTGCCTCACCCCAGCCCCACCTGCTTGCCCCCTTGCCCAGGGTGGATGTGGTTCACCTGGCACTCTACAACCTGGGGGTGCAGAGCAAGAAGAAGTACTTTGACTTTGAGGAGATTCTGGCTTTTGTCAACCATCACTGGGAGCTCCTGCAGCTTGGCAAGGTATACAGGACCATGGGATGTGAAAAGGGCAGGAGGTCATTTCACAGTGGGGTTACTGAAGTCCAGAGAGGAAAGAAGTTTGCTCGGATCACAGTGCAGGGGCTCACAGTGCAGGGGCGAGGGTCTGGGTCTCTTGAGTGCTCACTCTTGACAGTGAAGGCTGTTGGCTGGCACAAGACCCCAGAGCCTTTTTGAGCTGCTGCATCCCTGAGTCCAGGCCTCTAAACCAGTACCCTGAAGGGGCTTCCTGATACCGGTTTTCGCAGTGGGCGGGTTGGGGCCTCACCGATTCAGCTGCAGGGAGCTGTGGGTGGAGTTTGACTGGAGCAGGGCTGTCCACAGAGATAGATGTAGATGTCTGACCCACTCCAGATTACCTGGCTGGAATGGAACGTGAAGTGGGCCTGCCCCCTGCTGGTTGTGCTTTGAATAGCAGAAGTGGCCATCACAAGACTGGGGAAGTCTGGGATCCAAGGTGTGAAGTAACAAACCAGAGACTTGCAGGATGCCAGAAGGGGAGAGTGACTTGCTGGGGGTCAGCACAGCTTTTGAGCTGGGACTGGAGATGGCCTCCCCAAGTACTTCCACAGAGGCTTTATGCCCTAATGACATCCTTAGAATCCTCTCTACCACATCCAGAATGAGGCATCTTCTCTTACTACCCCAAACCTTAATAAAGACAAGATTTTTTTTAAGTAACCTTTATGCCTTACAAAGTTTTTCATGTAATAACATCTTCATTTACAGTGTTCAGTAACTTATAAAAGACATGTGTATATTACAACGCTCTAAAAAGACAGAGCTAGTACTTTTTAAATAACATTTTTTTGGATTTATTAAAAAAAAATCCATGTTCCTGGTAGAAAAATTTTAAAGTATGAAAGTGTAAGTAAATATACTTAAAAAAAATCTCTACCCCACATCACATCATCCTGAAACAACTGCTATTAATGTGTAGGTGCATATCCTTCCCTCCTGTCTTCAATGTCTATTTTTTCTTTTTTACATGGCTTAGATTATACAGTATATAAAGCTTCAAATCTTTTTTTTACTTTATGTTAGAGCATAAAACCTTTTCCATGTTATGAGTTTTTCATCAACATTTTTAATGGTCGCACTGGTTTCCACCATTGTTTGTTGCCTTCCTGCTGAGCACATAGTTTCTTTCCCATTTTTCGTATTTGCCAATCTTTAGGAACAATGCTATAGTGAACATTTTTGTGTGTACTGCTTTACTCATGTTTCTTATGTCTGCATGATAGATTCCATGGACTAGCATTACTGGGTTGAGGACATGGACATTTTCAAAGCTCTTGATACATTTAGGACAGGAGTTATCCTCCCCATTTACAGATGGGGAAGTGCACTCAGAGAGGTGGAAAGATTTGTCTGAGATCATGGAACAAGTGGTCCTGACCTGGAGGACCCAGAAGCATCAGGACATTCAGGGGAGGAAGGGGATGGGGGCTGAGGCCTCCTCAGGCACCATGTGCCTGGTCTGATTGGCTTGCTGGCCCGCTCCCCCTTAGCTCACCAGCACCCCTGTGACGGATCGAGGACCTCATCTACTCAACGCTCTGAACAGTTACAAAAGCCGGTGCGTGCAAAGGAGTGGGGGAGTACCACTGGGTCCCTAACAGGTGGGGCTTTGGTTTAGTATCTTCCTACCTCACAGCCTTTGCACATGCTGTTTTCCCACCAGGGTCTCCCACCCCTTCCCTCTGACTAGATAAATCCTGCTCGTTCTTCAAGATCCAGGGAGTACCTCACCTCCTTTGTGACATCTCCCCTAACCACTCCAGCAGCCTGACACATTTTGGTGCTGGGTTCGGCTCCCTTGGGGCATGCACCCCAATCCCTAAGCCCTGTTACAGCCACCAGTGGTTCTGGGGTAGGCACTGAGAAATCGGTGCATCTTCTCTGTGGTGGGCAGCAGCCTCTTAACTCATCTCCAGCCCACACCTTCCCATCCAGACTTCTGAGTTTTTCTGAGAACACAAGCCTGACATATACCCTACTACCAAGGGAATGCCCAGGCTTCTTAGCATGGCATTTAAGGCCTCTCATGATCAGACCCTGCTCACCCTTCTGGTACTGTCCCTTTGCTTATTTGTTCTGGGTGTCAGCCATTCTGAACCCTTTGCTTTCCCACTCAGTGCTTTTGCTCACACTCTGCCCTTTGCCCATGATGCTCTTCAACGCCTTTCTTTTACTTGATCCATAAACAACTATTCACTGAAATGCTGCTCTGTGTCAGCCCTATGTGGGAACTGAAGACACAGTGAGGAATAAGACATGGTCCCTACTTTTGCAAAACCTCTCCAGATATCTGGACAGAATTATCCACTCTCTTCCACCTTCCATGGTTTGGGGCCCAGGTACAGCCCTACACTTGAGCACATAGGATCTCCTACCCTCCTCGTGGACAGTCTCCTGAGTCACCTCTCCAGGCTCATGGCAGCTCAGCCAGTGTTAGAAGGATGAGGGAGGTGCCTGAAGGTGCTTCTGTCTCCTTGGGGAGACCAGAGAACAGAATGGTGTAGAATCTAGTGTTGACCATAGGAGTTCCACCGGGAGCTGCCAGTTTGAAGGAGAACAGCAGCAGGCACTCCACACATACATGAAGAAGGGCAGGGAGGAGTCACTAGCCACATTCCAGCCACTACCTGGGACCCTTGAGCCCACAGGCTTTGAGGAGTGGGTGTCTTTACAAGCTACTCTGGATTTTAACTCCCAGTCCAGGGAGGCAGAGAGGGTAATGTGGACCGACAGACTCCAGAGCTTTCTCCTTCCCCGGCTCACCCCGCAGGTTCCTCTGTGGCAAGGAGATCAAGAAGAAGAAGTGCATCTTCCGCCTGCGCATCCGTGTCCCGCCCAACCCACCAGGAAAGCTGCTGCCTGACAAGGGCCTGGTGCTCGCCGAGAATGGCACCTCTGAGCTGCGTAAGAGAGGAAAGACCAAGCCTAGGTCAGTGCCTGGGGGCCTGGGGCTCGGGCTCAGCCAAACTCAGGTTCTCTGCTCCCAGCTGCCGGGCTGCGTGGTGGGCCTAGAGAGTGTGGTGGCATCCAGGTGAGCAAGGAGACTGCCACCCAGTCCGTGCTGGGCTGGAGGCACCCTGAGCCAGCCAGCTGGTGGCTGAGCCAGGACCCGGTCCCACACCCCGACTTCTCCCATCACAGCCCCCTAGTGCCTGGCTTGGCAGGAAAGCCGGGTCACGGGCTCCAGTCTTGCTGGATCAGAGCTTAGGCAGAAAGTGAAGGGGAAGTCAGAGTGTTAGGAGTCCCTGACTCCCCTCGCTAAGCTGACCCCTCTCACTCTGGGCGTCACAGGGCAGAGCACCCGGAGAGGCACCTTCCCTCTTGTGCCACCACACCTACTTCCCCAGAGGATCCCCCTCCTCCCCAGGCCTCCTTGTGATGGAGAGCCATCCCCACCTCCGCTGCTGGGACCCCAGCCCTTCCCCTGTGCCCCCTCCCTCTGGGCCTTCAGCCTCTGACTGGGCCACCCTCTCTCTTTTCTGTCTCCACAGTTTGTTGCCTCACGAATTTCAGCAGCAGAAAAGGCGAGTTTATAGAAGAAAAAGATCAAAGTTTTTGCTGGAAGATGCTATTCCCAGTGTTAGTTTCTTGTTTTCTTCCTCTCCACATTCACACCCAGGGATCCCTGTGCAGAACACCAAGTGCCCAGGCCCAGGGGACTCTTGCATGTCTCTTAAACCAGTTCCTACTGCAGCTAAATAAGAAGCCAGGCACTGCAAGCCCACTCCTTCCTCTCCCCAAGTTCGTCCAAGACCCTGAAGGTGGGGGACCTCGCTGTTCAAGTGGGGGGACTGAAGGCCAGGGAGCGGCATGGCCTTCCCAAGGTCATACCTCTCCATCTTCAGCAGCATCCACCTCACTGGAGACCCCCTAGGGGCAGTCATGTTTGCAGTGCCTCCTCTCCCCGGCACTTAGCAGTGTACAAGGCCCTCCTACAGCCATCATGTCACCCCACCTCTAAAGGGGAAGCTTGGCAGGTATTACTGTCGACCTTGAGGTGACTGAGACACAGAGATGCGAAGGTCATCCAGGTGGCTAGAGACAGCCAGGATTAGAAGTGGTGTGACTTGACTCCCTAGTCAGGACTGGGAACAGAGAGGAAGTGACAAGTCTTACCTTCGGGAGGTGCAGCCCTCGGAGCCCTAGGTGGACCAGCAGGCAGCCTGGGTAGCCCTCTGCAGGGAGAAGGGGACATGTGGGAGGTGGACTTGATACTCACTGACCAGCCCACCCCCTCTCCTTCCTGTGTGTCCACAGAGTGACTTTACCTCAGCCTGGAGCACAAACCACCACCTGGCCAGCATATTTGACTTCACGCTGGATGAAATTCAGAGTTTAAAAAGGTAACAGTGAGGGACCCAGCAGAGATCTGCCCTGGAGACTGGTAAGGAACCAAGTGGGGAGACCACCTCCATTCCCCTGGCGCTGCAGGCAGGCACTTGGAAGGGGCAAAGCAGAGAGCTTCGGTGCAAGTGGAAGCTCCCTCGGAGTGACTCCAGCTACAAAGGTCATACTGCATAGGCCGCCTGAGGAGTCTTTCTACATGAGCGCTTTCTGCATGACGTGGCTGTGCTGCAGCCTCCAGGGCTCCCAGGGTCAGCTCCAAGAGCAGCACGCGAGGCCTGCCTTGCCCACGCCCTCCCTGCCTCCCCAACTCCTGCCCACTTCTCCCTGCCTCACACCTTATACCAAAATTGCTGTTGGTCATCCCACATTCACTCCCCCAGGAAGCCTTTCCTAGCCGTCCCCAGGGTGTTGGATGCTCCCGGTGTATTTTCATAGTACTCATGCTTGGTACACTTAAGCGGAGGCACTGCATATTCCACATTCTATTTCTGAAATTGAGCCATTCAGTGCTTTCCTGTAGGTATGGAGGAGCGAGCAGGGGCTTCACCAGACAGCCCCTACTTACCAGTCATCAGTAATAAAACTTTAGCAAAGTTCTTTAACCTCTCTGACCCTCCTCACCTGTTTTTTGCACAGTTGTTAATGAGACTCAGTGAAGATACTGTAAATGAAAGCACTTAGGTATACAAAGTGCTTCCCACGTATCTGCCATCACACTCATTACCCTTAATTATCACCACCACGGGGGAGCGTGGTCAGGGAAGACTTTGGCTTTAAAGGCTGGATGGGTAGAAAATGGACAGGCAGAGAGGCAATGACCACTGCAGGTGTGGTGGTGGGAAGCTCAGCAGTGGGAAGGAGGGCTTCCGGTGGAACAAGGGTGCATGTCACAGGGGCCGAGAGGAACGGGAAAGGCCCCAAGGGGTGCTGAGGACCTGTGGCCAGGCTCGCCCTCTCCTCCCTCAGCGCCAGCTCTGGCCAGACCTTCTTCTCGGATGTGGACTCCACCGATGCCGCCAGCACCTCTGGTTCTGCTTCCACCAGCCTCTCCTATGACTCAAGGTATACTTCCTGGCATGACGGACTCAAGTTCCAGCATCCCCCAGCCCCTCCACCTCCCACTTGTGACGTGTGGCTCACTCTGTGTGTCATGGGCTTAGGACCTGGCCTCGTGCAGTTGTGTGAGTCTGGGTCTGGGACCCCATGGTCTGAGACATGTTTCTGACAGAAGCTGAGGGCAGACATTCAGGTTGTTCCTAGTCACCTGCTGCAGGTCATGTGACACCTCTTGCTGGGCAGTTTCAGATCTGGGGTTCTTTCATTGTAGGGATCTTAACCTCTGCATGCCATGATTTTACATGTCTGTGCCTCTGACTTTAGGGTCCCTTGACCCTGGTTCTTGGCTGTCTGAATCTGATGTCTGTCTCCGGGTCCCCCTAAGGAACAGCTGTTGATTTGGAAGGCTGATGGAGGGGAAAATGGTGTCCTGCAAGGTGTAGGGTCTGGGAGAGGGGCAGAAATGACAGAGGCCTAGCAAAGGGTACAGCCTGTTTCGCAATAGCTGGTCTTCAGCAGCTTAGGGAGGGTGTGCGGCAAAGCACAAAGTTCTGAACCCTCAGGCTTCCTTAACTCTCTTAGGATACTTGAGGCCCTTGCGAAAAGTGTCGTGCCTATAGAAGCGTGTCTTGGAGTCTGTTTCCAAACATCTCAGGTGTCTATCTGCTGTTGCCTCTGTGTTTCTGTTTATTTCTCCCAGTTCTGAGATCTGAAATGTAAACAATGTGTACTTCAAAGCAGGACACACCTGGGTTAGAATCCTGGCTCTGCCACTCCCCAGATAGTGGTTTCTCCTCTGGAGCCCCCTTGGAGCTGCTGTGAGACAACCCGGGCCCAGGAAGTGCTCAGGGACAGGGACTGCTTGGGATTATTCCCTCATTCCCACCATCGTCCTCTTCCCCTCCCGGTACAGACGGACAGTGGGCAGCCGCAAGAGGAAGCTGGCAGCCAAAGCGTATGTGCCGCTGCGGGCCAAGCGGCGGTCAGTCGAGCTGGGGGGACGCTGCCCCTCGGACAGCAGTGGAGAGGGCGTTTCAGGCCCTGAGCGGCCAGATGAAGGCATCGACAGCCACACGTTTGAGAGTATCAGTGAAGATGACTCGTCCCTGTCCCACCTCAAATCATCCATCACCAACTACTTCGGTGCAGCTGGGCGACTAGCCTGTGGGGAGAAGTACCAGGTGCTGGCTAGGCGGGTCACACCTGAGGGCAAGGTTCAGTACCTGGTGGAGTGGGAAGGGACCACCCCTTACTGACCTGCCCCCTGGGGGATGCCAGGAGCCCTGGAAACCAAAGGAGAGACAGAGGAAGCCACAGGCTCTCCAGCTCTCTCCAGGCTGGGCTAGGGAGGGAAGCAAGACAGAACTGCTAAGTGCCTGTAAAAGGCCCTTCCTGCCTGCCAGCCACGGCCTGTGCCTCTCTGCTGTGCCCCTTTGCCTGTGTCCCTAAAGTCCCACTGGCTAATTCTGAGCATCTCCACACACTCCACACTCCAAGCTGTTTATGTTCTCAGAATCTGTGTCCCTCTGGCTTGAGGACCCCTTTCCCTGAGGCCTAAATCTGTCTTTCTCTTTGTCCCCAATTGTGTCCCTTTTCCTCTCACCCCTTTAGGGTGTGTGTGTTTACGCACCTTACATGTGCATGGCTGTCCATCCACTGGACAGCCTTCACATCTGACCCATGGGCAGCCAGTCCCCCCAGGGACCACCCTATGAGAACGGGAACCTGAGACAGAATGGGTGAAGGTGTGTAAGAGGATGCCTCACAGAGCTTTCCTCTCCCGCTTTCCTGCCTCTAACCTGCCCTGCCCTGTTCTGCCCTTGGAAAAGGGTGGTACAGTGGGAGAGTGCTTCTGTGACAGCCTGTGTGGCAGAGACCCTGGGACTCTCAGGATCTAAGGAGTGAAGAGGCTGGGTGTCTGCCTCAGAAGGCACTTGCACCAGAGCCCCATTTTCAGGCTAGAGTGAAGCCTCATGGGTGTCAACTTCTGCAGCCCCATAAGTTCTTTCCCTGGCCCTGCTGTAGTGGAGGCGGGCCCAAGGGACAGTTAGAGGACCTGGGAGGAGAGGAAGCCACATCACACTGAACCTCAGACTGGGGTCTGCACCTCCCACCCCTGGGCCCACATACTCACACTCAAGCTTCCATCCACACGTGTGTGCCTTCCCACTCCAGGTACACACACTCAGCCCCAGCCTTCAGGTGTCCACACACAGCCCCGTGCCCTCTAGTGCTGACCTGGCTCATCTGTGAGACATCTGGGCTTTCTGTTGGCCCTCTTCCAGGTGTCATGCGCTGTGACTAAATGTCAAAGTCCAGCTCCTGCGCCCGTTTCTCAGCCCACCAACCAGTTTTGACTAGGGAAGTGCAGGGGACTCACAACCTCTTCCTTATACCCTGTCCCACCCTGAAATTGACAATCACTTTTTGGGACAGGTTGGGATTTTTCAAGCACCCATGTCTTTCAGTCCCCTCACAGGGAAGCCTTTGTCAGTGGGGTAAACAGCTCTCAGAACCAATGTTAAAATTCATACTCATCTGGAGGCAAACCAAAAATGGGAGAGGAAAGGGGACCCCTCATTTTTGCTGCTTCCAGAGATGCTAGAAACGGACTCATTTGACCAGAAAATGTTAAGAAGTGCCTTGACTGAGACGGGGCACAACAGATGGGGACCAGCCTTGCCAAATGCTGCTGTGGTCTCTAGTTTGGCTCGGCTCTTTTAGGCGGCCAGCTACACAGCGAGGGTAAATGAATAATAAGGTGCAGCAGGCCTAATGGAGCTGGTTTTTCCACTAAGCTGACCCCCTCCCTGCCTGTGGGCATTTGGTGGTGGTGGGGGGGGCGATCCCTGAGATCAGATGCCTCTCCCTTCAAACCTCAGCTCTTACAGAGCCTTTCAGATGGGACCTCACCTCCTATACACAGCCTACCCACTTCCCTTTGCCTACTAGCACGGCCCAGGCAGAGATGAGCTCAGATGGGGCACAGTTCTCTTCCTTCTCAGCCCCACAGCTGCTGCCACTGAAGGCCCTACTGGGGCCAGGTGGAGGGGGAGCTGAGAAGCCAGCCCCCAGCTCAGCAGGGGTGTGTGGCCTGGGATCCAATCTGTGGCTTCAGAGAGCACAGCAACCTCCCAAGCCTGCTCTCCAGGCTTCTGAGAAAGAACAGGATGAGCAAGGCCTGTCACAGTGCATCTGCTCTACTCAGGCTCCAGAGAGGCTCTGGGCTTGAAGAGGAGGGAGAGGAAGGAATGTCTTCCTCACTTGAGAAGTCAGCATAAGGCCTAGCAAGGTCACCCTGACTTCACACCCAAGCATTTCACTCATACCAGATAATAGCTGCATTACTACCAACTGACCTTATAACCCTGTGCACCTTCAAAAAGATTTATGGTTTCTGAATTGCTGCTTTTAATAACGTTTGTTATATTAAAATTATAATTAATGTGTCTGGTTTAGTTTAAAAGCTCCTTCTGAAGAACTGCCTAACTTCCCCCTAGTGAACTGTTAGCTGGGTAGCAGGGGGAACTGGCTTTGGTTTCTGATCTGGTTTCCTGGAAGCCGAGGAGGAATGGCAGGACCCCATCCTCTCTGGCCACCCTGCCACTTCTACCCTGTCTACCACATTCAACAATATTCTTGCCCTTACTGCCCAGAGGATGTGGAACCTTTATTCTACTGTGAGTACGGGTCCCATGGGAGGAGCAGCAGGGCAGGGAAGGGCAGGGGAGGGGGAGGGCAAAAAGCTTAAGCTGAGGGCCACAGAGAAGTTAAGGTGGGAAATGGGCTTAGAAATTGAGCCTGTTAAAATACTTAAGTACAGGCACTGTAAAGCTACTCAGTGCACACAGTCATGCAATTCTGGAAACTGCAGCAAGGTCTGGGCTCGGCTCTGCTCGTTCTGACCTGCGCCGCTTTGGCCAGGTTCCTCTGCTTCGGCATCCTCACTGCTCATGTGCCAGAGGTAGTCCCTCCTATATTCAGCTCTGCAGATGTTGGGAGGGAACCCTTTCACATACTCATGCAGAAGGGCACGGCAGGCAGAGGGGCTGGCCTGGCACAGGAGCAACACCACACTTAGTTACTTGAAGTAAACTTTAAATGTGAAGAAAAGGTTAGCTATAGGAAAGTAAAGGCCATGGGTTCAACGGAATCCTGTAGTTTCAGGGGTGATGTGCAGCCGGTTAAATCCCCCTGTTAATGTGTGCCCTTAACCATCCTCATTAACCATGGCCCCCACTTGTTTCTACCGTTTATTCTTCAACCTTTGAACTGCCCACCAACGCAACCAAACCACCACTGGAGCAGGGGGTGGATGATTCTCTGGGCTGAAATCAATGTAATGAAATGAAAAGTGAATGGCGCAAGGTTCTAGCCTAGTTCCACAGTGAACAGTTACACAGACCTCCCTGGGACAGTGGTCCTCCAAGGGCTGGAAAAGTGCCTGATTCTCTGTGGTCTAGGTTAGAGTTTACAAATTTCTAACAAATATACACCCTGGAATTTAGGAGCAAAAAGTCGGAGTTCTCAGGAATTCCCTAAATCATAAGTTACTCTTAAAATACTTCAAGCATTCTTCATATTCTCTTTCATTTTAGACTTCTGAAAAGAACTTTAACACATAGGAATATAAGAAAATATTAATTTAACACAAAGGAATATAATATTAAATAATACTTAGTAGTATTTACAAAGAGCTACAGCCTATAGAGAGTATTTAAACACTGGAAAATGCCCAGGAACATTACTAGATAGTACTCAAATAACATACCAAATATCCTGGCAAGGTTAGGGGTATACAAAATCACATGTCAAAATTGGCAAATTAAGGATTTATTTTGCTTCCAAACCTTTTTTCTTGAAATACCCCCATAGAGTTTGGATAAAGTATACTATGTATATAAACTTCATTTGCAAGAATAACACGGTTTGCAGCAGACAGGGCTAGACATACACTTCGGATGTGGCAACAATCAAAAGCAAGACTGATCAGATGGTAACCACTTCTCTCCTACATGCTCCTGTCTGGGTTCTCTTAACCTTCAACTCTGCACGTTAATGTTTCTTGCCCTTGTTTTTTATTTGATGAAGATGGAGTCCTTCAAACAAATAATGTCTCTGTGCTTCTAAGCCTTAGTATTTACAGATAATTTTAATGCTTTTTCTCATCTCCTCAACAGCTTTTTCTAGGGAAAAACTAACACATTTCCTGAGAAATGCTGGGAAGGAATTCCCACATGGAAATACTAGTCTAAGTCCTAGCTTCAGCTCCCACAGCATCATTTTGGGAAGACAGTGTGGTATAGTGGCCAAACCATGAAGTCATGCAGACCCTAAAAATCACTGACCTGCACTAATTCTGTTCTCTGATCTGTAGAATGAAGACAGTCAGTCACCAACCTCCGCATCTGTGAGGAGAAGTAAACAATGCAGTATATTTTTAAGGACCATATTAACTTACCACATAGATGTTTTAGGAACTAATAACTTCCACTAAGAGCTGGCTACAGCAGGTTCTCGGGTCTTTGGCCTGCAAAGGTATATATCCAACCTCTCTGGAAGAGACAGCAGGAGTATCATACTTGGAATCAGAGACTTGGGTTCAGAGCCTAGCTCTGCCACTTACTTTAAGTGTCTTATGCTTTCTGATCTCAGGTTTCATCTGCAAAATGAGGATAACAACATTTAGTTATAAGACAAAATAATGTTAAGAACCTAGGACGAAACAATACCTGGCAGAAAAAGCTGGTGTTTTGTCCCTCTACTCCCTCATTTCCTGTAGACAACTGACACTTAGGTAAAGGAAGACCACCAAGCAACAGTTTAATGCACAGTCAGCACAGAACATGAGCTACGAAGACCAGAGGTAGAAAGAAAAATCTCTTGTAATTAGTTCCACTTTAAGAAAGCTCAAGGGAGGAATGGTGGATTTTGCCAATTCTATAAATTAGTAACTACTACAGAGAAAGCTTTGGTTATTTAAGAAATATTTGCCAAACCCTATGCAAGAGATCAAATATATTCAGACACGCCCCTGCCCTCGAGTAGCTCACTACCTGGAAACAGGAGGCTGACTGAGGTACAAGGATAACAGGACACCAGCAGGAGAGAGGCCAACTTGGGCAGCCAGTCCTTGCAAAGGAGCAGCCAGACCTCACAAGCACTCATGCAGAAGGGCACTGCAGGCAGAGGGGCTGGCCTGGCACAGGAGCAACACCACACAGCATCCTGGGCCACCTACTTGCCTGTAGAACAGAGGTTGAAGATGCTGATGGAAAAGTGAGTTGAGGTTATAAAGGGCCTTGAAAGCTAAACCAAGAAACTGGACTTTATCCTGAAAGCAATATAGTCATTTAGGGTCCCTAAGAACATTTTCAGTGCTGTTTACTTTATGCTAGATTTTCATATATATCAGAAACTGCTGTTGTAAAAGGTATCACCATTATCATTATTTGTTCTCCTGAGGCAGCCCTTTGAAATCCCCACTGGCTATCAAAAAAGGATCCCCTGGACTTTTAGAAGGGCCTCAGTCTGAAGTCCCTACAGAGTCTTCCCAATAGGGCCCTTGGAGATCCTAATTTCTACTTGGAAATATGGTCCAAGAAGCTCAGCAGGTGTCAAAATTACAGCCTAGCAATACCCCTCCCACACACCTTTCCCTCTGGGAAGAAAGACTCAGGATACCACAGATGTCTGTGGTGCACCCCCAAACTGCCCACAGTCTCTCCAGAGTGGAGTTACCTTTTGACCAATTCATGGAGGGACTCAATGCACAATCATTAATCAACCCCAGGCCTAATTCTCAACAGTCTCCAATCTTCTGAAGCATAACGAACAAGTTCTTACATGGTGAACAAATTCTTACATAGTGAATAAGTTCTTGCATGGTGAATAGTGCAAGGGCAGTCATA